AAATATAATGCACAACAATAAGTTCTTAAAATGAGGAACAGAATATTTGAATTACTTAGTACTATTTTTGGAAATACTAAAGAACAGCATTTACAAGCAACTGTATTTATTCCAAAAGGGCAAATCAGTTTAAAACCACAAACACACCATATATATATATCTTTAACATGAGTTTACATCACTTACCAATCCCATAAGCTTTGGCAAACAGCCACCGGAGGTTAGCTGCTATTTTTGCTCTGGCCGAGTCATACATCTCCAGCAGTATAACATCCATTGTGTCTTCTGCAGCCCCAGCTAGGTCCACTTTTCTCCTGATGCTGTCCCAGCCAGCACACAATTCAACATCCATCCTTGGCAAAATAAAAACATGGAAATAAATCTGATTCTAAAATGAGGAAAAAAGAGAGACTGTATCATATGCATTTGTGCTAGTGAAACAAAAACTTTCAAAAGAAGGCAGAATAAACCCATCCTGGTGTTTAATTATTGAGAAAATTACCGTTGTTAGTTCTGCTCAGAGGCCGATCATTGATGGTCTGTTGGGGGTTTTATCTAATAATCTAGGAGTAAGTACCACAGTAGCATCCTGGCAGGCACAATACCCATCATTATGTCATCATTGACCACAGAGTGAAGCTAGTGCATCTGAAAGAGGCCTACATGAACACAGAGTAAAGCCAAGGCAGCCCATAGTTTTTTTTAATCCACCTTAATTCAGTATAAATTAAGCAAAAAAAACTTTTTTTTACAGTTGCTACATAAAATAAAAATGAAATTGTTTATTCAGCCCGACATTCAACCAGGCTGATTTTGAATCACCTACAGTGGACAGTGTTGAAGGACATTAAACTGATCAATAGACAGCACTGTTGTTAATGCTGTGTGTGACTTGCTGCCTTTAAAAGCAGAGCTGACCCCAGACAGACGCCCATTAGAACATTATGGGGGAGACCATTACAGTAAAATTACACTTCAATTCTTCAATTAGCTGCACAGAATCTGAATTAATTGTTAAAATAGATACAGCGTTTACAGCAGCGTTTTATTAGATATGGCGGGAAGATGCCAATTTTTATTCACTAAAAAATATTAGTCATCAACTGACACTAGCACAATCAAGTTCTGACAGTCAGAAGAAAATACACAAACTGTTACCTCTTTAAATTTAAATAAACACAAGCTTGTGAATTATTAACGTCGAATTCCCATTTTAAGACAGGATTTATTTTTATGTCGCTGTTTTTATTTGGGACTGTTTAAGAAAATACTTTTTCAAACTAGTAGCTTTGACGAACTTTCTACTCAACTTACATATAACTAACTTATTTTATGTATTAATAAACTTGGGTGTATTATATAGTATATAAATATAATCAAGCTCCTATTAAATATCTTATTAAAATACATTTTAATAATAAGTAAATCATTGTAAGTTGTCTGTATCATAAACCCAATGCTACTTTTCCTCATCACAAACATATCTATGCTGTCTGGCTTGTCAAGCCCCATAAAGGCTAGATCATCAAATTTAGCTTTGATTTATCCCAGGTAATTCTGTGTTAAGGCGAAATTCACTATTAACGTAACAACAGTTATCTATTTATGTGCATATTTGCATAACGTGATCATTTGCTACGCGGTCGTGCACGCAAATAGGCAGCAGCGAGCTAACAGGCTACATCAGTTAGCATGAAGCGGGACTGCGTTCTTCGGCTATGAATGACGTAAGCTCACTCACAACATGTAACCTTCAAAGGTAGGGTGTATCTTCGAATCCCCTTCCACCCCAGTCCGGGTAAACTGTTATCCGAGGGTCTACCTCGTTGTACAGTAGCCTGCCGTGTGGAAAATACACCTGCAGCAGCGGCGCATCGTAGCCAGCTAACAGTGTTAGCAGGGAATCTTAAGGTTCTCCTCCCAGCAACAAGAACCGAACCGCAGCCTGTGTGACAACAGCGGGTTCGTGCTCGGTCCGTAGACATGTGATTACAGTCCCAGCCTAGGGCAGCGACTGCGCATGCGTGATCACTATCCAAACTATTACTTTGCAATAAAGGTATAGTAGGCACAGATTTATTTAAGATAACTTGTGTATTACTACATATTTATGCTCTCAGTGGTTATATATTTATATAGTGATGTTATTATTGATCATTATATGACTGTTTTCTATTTGCACCATGTTTTCAGACACATTCAAATAGATGTCGGAAATATCGGATTTCCTGGTTTTATGGAACGCACCACAAGTACCACCAGCGGTACATGCAGCAAAATTTAAGAACTACTGCACTAGGTGCCTGTGTAAATGTTCGATTTTAAGTATATACTGTACATCTACACTACCGTTCAAAAGTTTGGGGTCACTTAGAAATTTCCTTATTTTTGAAAGAAAAGCACTGTTTTTTTCAATGAAGATAACTTTAAACTAATCAGAAATACACTTTATACATTGCTAATGTGGTAAATGACTATTCTAGCTGCAAATGTCTGTTTTTTGGTGCAATATCTACATTGGTGTATAGCGGCCCGTTTCCAGCAACTATCACTCCAGTGTTCTAATGGTACAATGTGTTTGCTCATTGCATGAGAAGGCTAATGGATGATTAGAAAACCCTTGTGCAATCATGTTAGCACAGCTGAAAACAGTTTAGCTGGTTAGAGAAACTATAAAACTGACCTTCCTTTGAGCAGGTTGAGTATCTGGAGCATCACATTTGTGGGGTCGATTAAATGCTCAAAATGGCCAGAAAAAGAGAACTTTCATGTGAAACTCGACAGTCTATTCTTGTTCTTAGAAATGAAGGCTATTCCATG